GAAGAAGAAGAAGAAGAAGAAGAAGAAGAAGAAGAAGAAGAAGAAGAAGAAGAAGAAGAAGAAGAAGAAGAAGAAGAAGGCAGCTGTCATGTGCTGACAGAAACCAGGGCATCTCTAAGGGTTCAAGGTGTAGACAGTGATGATTCTCAGAGCTCAGGAGTGCTGGGACTCAGCTCAACATCAGCCACGAGGGCCGTTTAAGCCCGTGGGAAACTGTCTCTACCTAGGTGTTAAGTTCTGTTACTCTAGACATTAGAAAACTCACAGACAAGGTGGCAGCTGGTTTGGGAAAGAGTGGAGTGTGTGGTGGATAGCAAGAGGACCCAGGAGGAGATGATCACAAGTGGGGGTGATGGAGAGTATGCTGGCCTGCATTCCTCCAACACACCAAGAAGGAGCCCCAGAGAGAAGCAATTCAAAAGACAATTTCACTAGAACCAAATTCATTAAAATCATTTACAAACCTTGGGAGCAGAAAATTAGTTTCTTTATAAAAAAAAAACAGAACTAAAAAAAAAAAAGGCTTTTGTTAGATACTTTATACTCACGTATATTAAAGTTGTGTAACATTATTATGGTATTAAGCATTCTACTTATAAAAACATTCATGTAAAAAACCAAAAACAAAAAACAGAACTCAAGACCAGAGTCGAGTGGTGACCGTGTGGGTGGAGGCACATATGACAGCCATACAGTGGAGGGGGAGCTGGATGCCAAAGAGGAGGCCCCAGGGGTGATCTCCACTCTGGACAGCCACCCCTCACCCCCACGCCAGAACACTGAGCTTATAAAAACAACTAGCTAGGGCTTTGGATATGGCTCAGTGGGTAGACAGCTCACCAAGTTAAGCTGCCACGAAACTCTGGGTTTGATCACCAGCATCTCATAAAAAAACCAGACATGGTGGTTCATGCCTGAGCTGGAGTCAGGAGAACCAGAAACTCAAGGTCATCCTTGGCTACATAGTAAATTCAAGGCCAGCCAGGGTGACCTGAGACCTCATCTCAGAAAACAAAAACAATAAACAAACAAACAAAAAAAAAACCCTGCACCACTAGTTAAAACCTGACAGCTCTCCTGCATATGGCATAACCCTCTTCCTTAAATGAGGGAGCCTGGCCTTAGGGTCAGGGTGAAATGGAGAGCACTGGAAAGTTAGGGTAAATCAGGTGATCTGGCCAGCAAAAGCGTCTGACTGCAAAGCGGCCCCAAGGCTACAAAGACCTGGTGGGTGGCATGTCGGCTCAGTGTCCAGCCTGAACTACAGACTCAACAGAGGTGAACAGAGATGGCAGAACTCCCAGAATCCATTAGCAAGCAGCCCTCGGCTCCATGAGAGTGTCAAGGTGAGCGGTAGCTCGCCCACAGCCAGAGTCTGGGGACAGGTCACACACCAAGGAGCCAAGGAGGAGAGGTCTACCAAGGCAAGGGCCCTCCTCTCGTGACGTCAGCACCGCGGGTCCCCTAGCTAGCCGCAGGTAGTTACCATCCAGATCCTGGTGCTCCGGCTCATTTTGCCGTGTTCTGCGAACATCCAGCCATGGTAGGAGAGCAGCACCTTCAGTGAGTAGCGCATGGTCATGATGACCGCTACCCAGAGCCCCGTGCCGAAGAGGATGCCACTCACGATGTTCTTCGTCTGGCTTGACATGCGGCCACTGTGGGGATGGACCAGACAAGTAGCGAAGGCGTCAGTGTGGGAAGGTGGCCACGGCCACTACCTCCAAGCAGTGGGACCAAGCACCTTTCCAGGGACAGGAGAGAGCAGGCTGCAGCGCCCCAAAGCAGAGCTGGGGTCATTAGAGAAGGAAGCCTGAGGGACCCACCAACTCTCCTAGTGCTTGTGGCATTCTCTAACCCTCTCAAAATGGGCCAACCTTGGCGGGGTGCAGCAGAGTGGCCTCTGGTCCTGGAGCTCTGGAGGCAGAGGCCGCAGACCAGCCTGGGCAACACAGTGAGCCTTCCATCCCCAAAGAAGAGGCCTGAGACCTGCTGGTGACCTGAGCAATCCTGAACAACACAATTCCCTCCAGTCTCGGTCTCAGGGGAACAGTGGAGATGGGGGGGGGGGGAGACCTGCTCACAATGGCAACCGCTTCCTGAGGGCGGGGACTGCCACCTGCTGCTCATAGAGATCCCGGATTTCCCTCACCATCTCTTGTTTTTTTGCTGTGCCCACTACTGAACTCAGGCTTCATGCATGCTAAGCAGGGTCTCAACCCCTGAGCCACACCCCCAGTCCTCAAATATACTTAGACGTTGTTTGTCTCAGCACCCTGGAGGCAAAGGCAGGTGGATCTCTGTGAATTCAAGATCAGCCTGGTCTACATACCTTGCCTCAAAAACAAAACCGAAAAAATACATGTAAATAAAAATAAATAAAACTAATTTAAAAAAAATCTTTAAAGATCTTAAATACTTAAAAAAAACAAGACCACTGATTATGAAAGAAAAACCAAGACAAAAATGCAGCTATTTTTGTGGGGTTATTTTAGTTGTTTTGGAAATTGAAAAACAGTGGCAAAAATAAAAACTAGCCCCCTCCTCTTCAAGGCTCAAGAGACATCAAGGAAGAAGGGGTGAAATAATGCAAAGTAGGAGCGGGGGGGGGGGGGGAGAGGAGAGCTGAGAAACGCCGTCTTCTGGATATGATACCGCTGCACACGAGGACTCACTGAGGCCGTGGACCAAGGTCCAGCCAGCTGCATCAGTGGACACTCCAGCAGGGGCACTATTTAGACTCAGTGGATTGAAAAAAAGAGTGGGTGTGGAGAGTTGGAACAGATACGATCAAGATACACTGCTGACATGTATGGAACTGTCAAGGAATGAATAAAAGATACTCTATTTAAAAAACTAAGAGTCCCCAAACAATCAAAACAATTGCATACAGAACCCTAAAAGTTCTGATATTAGAAAACATTAACTTACATCATGTAAGTAACAGAGACAAGTTTCTTCTGAGGTAAATGTATTTTCCCACAGTTGGTCAAACCTAGCATTCAAAGGGCTGGAGAGATGGCTCAGCAGTTAAGAGCACTGGCTGCTCTTCCAGAGGACCTGGGTTCAGTTTTCAACTCTAGTTCCAGGGGATCTGACACCCTCTTTTGACCTCCGAAGGCACCAGGTACACACACATGGTACGCAGACATACATGCAGGTCAAACACGCATACACATAGAATAAAATTTTTAAAATAATCCAAGTTGGGCATGGTGTCGCATGCAGAGGCAGAGGCAGACAGATTTCTCTAAGTTTGCAAGGCTAGCCTGGTCTACACAGCAAGTTTCAGGATATCTCGGGCTACATAGAGAGATCCTCTCTCAAAAACCAAAATAGAAAAAATAAAATAAAATAAAGAAGTAATCCAAAATCCAGCTACGTCTCTAACCTCTTTCATCTTCTTTTCAGATCTAATCAAACAGAATCGCAGCCTAGGGACACAGGAACTCCGTCCTCAATGGGAAGATGGTTCCAGAACAGCCTTCCAGGCTGCAGGACTCTGACCCTTCACCTGGCCTTTCTAAATTTGGGTCAGAGATGACCCAGTTGACGAAAATAGATCCCGAGGGACAAAGAAACAAATCTTATAAAGACTGAGATTAAACAAGGTTTTAGTAGCTGGCATGGCTGTATGCAATCCGGCTTTGAGGCACAGCCCACGTTAAGAGCAAAGCAGAACTGTTGGCCCCGATCAACACACAGGGCAGCACCCCGAGCTGCTGGCAGGGCTTCCCTCGCCTCTCAGGACCTGGAGGAGGACAGCACAGGTCCAGTCTTCGGTGACCAGCTGCTTCGGATAACCTAGTCCTCATGGACGCTACAGGCCCCAGGCAGACAGGATGCCTGAACGGGCATTTTTATCTGGTCTCCTGCGGTTGCTTACAAAAGCATGACCAATGCTGCCTGGAGGGCTGGAGGCTGAGGAGTTGGCTGGCTTCTCTGTAACTCCTGGGTGTCTCAATCACTGTTGGGTTAAATCTGTGCATGGCTTTGAGTCAGCAGAAACCAACTCCTCCAGCTGTGAGCGTCCCCTGGGGTCACTCTTTTGTCAGTTGGCTTTTGCAATCCTTTCTAGTGTACAGTCTCTACATCGGAACAACCAGGAAAGCAAGATCAGAAAGGTCCAGAGCTGGGCTGGAGACGGCTCAGTGGTTAGAGGACTTGCTGCTCTTCCACAGGACCCGAGTTCAAGGTCTGTTCCCAGCATACATGCTCGAGTGGGTCATAACAACCTGTAACCCCAGCTCCAGGGGACCCAACACCCTCAACTGGCCTCCAAAGGCACTGAACTCACACTCTCAGGTGAGTTCAGCCCTGACCCTCAACACTGTCTGAACTCACACTCTCGATGAGTTCAGCCCTGACCCTCAACCCTGCACTGGGCCTTCACAATTCCTGGTCAGAAAACAAAGCCAAGTGCATAACAAGGACCTTGTGGCTATTTCTCCTCAGTTAAAAACACACTGACGGTCATGTTGTGAAGGACACATGGCACGGGACAACTCGGAAACAACCTGTTTGAACCCAGTGTGGTAGGAAATGCCTGCAGTCCCAGGAGAGGCAGGAGGGTTAAGGTCATTAAGAGTTCAAGGTCATCCTATGCTGGGATACTTAAGACCCTGTCTCAGAAAATACAAAAGAAAAAAAAAATTTGTCTAAATGCAGGAGTCATAACGCACAAGGTAACCGAGGCATGGTGTCCTGTGTCCAAGTCATTCCACACTGAGAGGGTCTAACATCCTTCATCCTGGATGGTGTCAGGGACCTGTCGGAAGCTGCCTGGAGTAACTGCCACCAGAGGTGACCTGAGCCCGAGGCGTGGCTCAGTGCTAAGTTAGCCTGGCATGCACAAGGCCCAAGCCTCTATGCTATCCCAGAAAAGGAGAGAAGTGCTTAGAATGTTCCCTGGCTACCTTCTAGAGCAGGTCTGGCATCCAGCAGGAGGCCCCAGATACAAAGGACCCCTTTTTAAAACAAAGTCTTATGGGACTGGAGAGATGGTTCAATGGTTAAGAGCACTTCTTACTCTTGCAGAGGACCTGAGTTCAGTTCCCAACACCCATATCAGGCAGCTACAACTGCCTGTAACTCCTGTTTCAGGGGATCCAACGGCTTCCTCTGGCCTCTGAGGGCACCAGGCACACATGGTACACATACATACATACATGCAGGCAAAATACTCACATACATAAAAATGAATAAATAATCTTAAAAAAAAGTTGGGTGTGGTGGGACACATTTTTAATCACAGCTCTTGGGAGGCAAAGGCAGGTAGATCTTTGTGAGTTCGAGGCCAGCCTGGTCTACAGAGTCAGGCCAGCTGGAGCTATACAGTGAGACCCTATCTTTAAAAAAAAATTTAAAAAGGAAAGAAAAGCCCGAAGCCGGCCAGGCTTTGCCTCTGAACAGGATGACAACTACTTTCAAGTTCCCAGAATATACTAAAACTCAAAGTCAAGGTATAATGGACCTCCCTGGGGGATCTAAGCCACTCTAGAGGGGCCAAGGGCTGAAGTGTCCCTAAGAAACCAATGACAGTCAGTTCAGGGGACCAGATCACTGGATAGACTAGTTCCAGGGGAACACTGGAAGCCATCTTCTGGGGGCAGAGATGCCCTCTGAGGCCACCATGGGCTCCACCTACTGCCACAGCTTGACCGTAGGGAGATGACCTTAGGGAATGGCCCCTGCCATGCTTAGCCTAATCTCCAGGACAGCCTTGTCTATAGACTTCCAAGGGACTTCAACACCGGGTCAGAAAAGTGAAGAGGACCCATGTGGAGATCCCAAAGCAAGGACAGTCAAGAGGATACTGTCATCCTCCTACCAAGATGGGGAGCAGGGATTACTCACGTGGTGTCCAGGGTCCGATTGATCTTTGCGATCATGCCCAGGGAGGGGTCCACTTTGGCATGCATGGATGATATCACACCCACCACCACGATAAGCCAGCTGGAGGGACTCGCCGGGAACACACCAGTGATGATGCCATTCTGGAAAGACACACCAGCTGTAAGCAGCACCCTCTCGAGGCCACTGTCCCTGCCCTGCAGCAGCCCTGTGGCAGCAGGCAGCTGGGACAGCAGGCAGCAGGGAGAAGGTGTGGCATACAGGCCACCAAGGACCCAGTAGCTGAGACTCTTCCTGGAGCCACGATGGCCCCACCTTTATGTAGTTTCTTCTTTCTCAACTTCTGAGCCCCAATGTACCCTGGGAGATGCCCCAGAGAGACCCCTGGTCAGCAGGATCACTAGGCCTGACTTACCACACAGGTCCCATATCAGGACTAACAGCCTGGGTACCATAAGGTCCCACTCCCAGTCTGCCACTGTCTGGCAGACAGGGAGCCCAGCTCCCAAATTCCCTTTGCACTGTCCAAATCAAGATGTGCTTATAGGAGCCCTCACACCACTGGGATTGCTGTAAAATAACCCTTACCCGGCAGAATTAGGTTTAAATGAAAGTATCCCGTTACATGTACTTATTGTACATGGGTGGATAAAGGACACCATGGTGCACATGTGGAGGTCAGAGGACAACTTGTGAGAGTCAGTTCTCGCCTTCCACCTTGGGGACTTTGAGTCAAACTCAGGTCGTCGGGCTGGGCTGCAATCTCGCCCACCCAACTCAAAAATCTGTCTAACAAAAAGAGGTTAGCCGGGTGGTGGTGATGCACACCTTTAATCCCAGCACTTGGGAGGCAGAGGCAGGCGGATCTCCAGCCTGGTGTACAGAGTGAGTACCAGGACAGCCAAGGCTATGGAGAGACCCTGTCTCTGAAAAAAGAGGTTGGTGGGAGAAGGCTTGTGTGAATCAGAGCCAGCCAGACTTTGCCCGCTCTGGAAACCGGCAGGAAAGAGATGCGGAGTGCTGTCTTTCTTCTCTCTGCTCTGTTGCTGTTTGTAACTTACAGTAAATTAATCTATTCTGTTGCTGTTTTGTGTTTTATTTTTTGAGACAGGACCTCTCTATGTAGCTCTGGCTGTACTGGAACTCACTATGTAGACCAGGCTGGCCTCTGCCTCCTGAATGCTGGGATTAGAGGGGTGGACCACCATGCCCAGCATAATAAATTAATTCTTAATAGATACACATATTTAGCCCCAGCACTTGGGAAGCAGAGGCAGACAGAGCTCTGTGAGTTTGTGGCCAGCCTGGTCTCCATAGTGAGCTTCAGGGTAGCCAGAGCTATACAGTGAGACCCCAACTCAACAATAATAATAACAACAACAAGAACAACAATTCTCCGAGCAAGGTGTGGGGACTCACATGTCTTCCCAGCACATGAGAGGGGAACAGGAAAACTGCCTTAAGTTACAGGCCAGCCTGGGTTACAGGGTCAGATTTGATCTCAAAGAAGTAAAACCAGGCTGGGGAGAGAGCTCGGTGGGTAAAGTACTCGCCACACAAACTGGAGGAAGGACCAGCATTTGGATCTCTAGACTCAATGTAACCCCAGCACTCCAGAGGCAAGCTGGCTAGCTAGACCAGCAGGCTCTAGACCAGCAGGCTGAGACCAGCAGGCTGAGACCAGCCAAGCTCTAGACCAGCAGGCTGAGACCAGCCACGCTCTAGACCAGCCACGCTCTAGACCAGCCAAGCTCTAGACCAGCAGGCTCTAGACCAGCAGGCTCTAGACCAGCAGGCTGAGACCAGCCAGGCTCTAGACCAGCTGGGCTCTAGACCAGCCAGGCTCTAGACCAACAGGCTGAGACCAGCCAAGCTCTAGACCAGCCAGAATCAGTAAGCTCAGGTTTCAGTGAGACTGTCTGAATATATGAAGTAGAGAACTATAGAGGAAGACACCCAATGTAAAGATCGGGCCTCCAAGTGTGTGTGCACGCATATGCACACATACACACACATGCACACATACACACACACACACACACACACACACACACACACACAGGCAAACAAAACAAAATAAAACAAAGAAGAAAAATCTTTCAATTAAAAACACATTCTTGGAGCTAGAGATGGCTAGGTAGTTAACAGCACTTGTTCTTGCAGAGGACCTGAGTTCGATTCCCAACATCCATGTCAGGTAACTAGTAACAACCAGTAACTCCAGCTCCAGGGAATCCAATGCCTCTGGTCTCTGCAGGTACCTGCAACTAACATACACCCACCCATACACAGATGCACAGTGATACACATAATTAAAAAATAAAACAAATCTTTAAAAAAAATAAAATAAAATCCTATGCCTGTGATCTCCACACTCAGGAGGTAGGGGCAGGAGGGGCAGGAATTCAAAACTATCCCTCACTACACACTCTGTTGGAGGCCACCTGGATTACATGAGATCCTGTGTCACAAAAACCAAAAGGTTCCCCAAGGCCAGTATGATTTTACCCCTGTCATCCCAGCACTTTGGAGGCTGAGGCAGGATGACTGTCTTAAATCCAAGGCCAGCTTGGGCAAGAATGAGACCCTATCTCAAAAATACAAGCATAAATAAGTAAGTAAGTAAGTAATTCATTAGAGTTAAAAACAAGTAAATAAGCCAGCCATTGTGGCACACGCCTTTAATCCCAGCACTGGGAAGGCAGATGCAGGAAGATCTGTGAGTTCGGGGCCAGCCTGGTCTACAGAGTGAGTTCCAGGACAGCCAGAGCCACACAGACAAACCCTATCTCAAAAAACAAAGATAAAACATAAGTAAAAGTGAGGCGGGGCTCTTGCCCACTGAACCTCCTGATTCTGAATCCACATGAAAGCCAAGGTCCTTGCAGCAGTGGTGGCCCCGACCAGCCCTCTTCCTCAGAGTGAAGGCACTGCCTTCCAAGAAAAAAGTATTGGAGTTCAGCCACGTGCCACTTACCTACACTGCTCACCCTGTGTAAGTTTGGCCAGCTCTCAGACTTAGGTTTTCCTGTAGGTAGAACCTTCACTACTCTGGTTCACAGAACACTGATCACCGAGCCCCAGAAGCTGCCACTGAGATCCAGGGACACCTGTGCTGTGCCTGGTCCTGGAGACGCATCTGCCACAGCCACAGCTTCTGGCAGTGGCACCTTCCTCTGCAGTACCCAGCAGGCTGGAGGAGCAGGCCCTGGTGATGGGGGACTGTTTGCAATTGCTCCAAACCTGCATTTACTCTCTCTGGGATTTTTAAAAGAAAGTAAAATTGGAGCCGGGCGGTGGTGGGGCACGCCTTGAATCCCAGCACTTGGGAGGTAGAGCCAGGCAGAGCTCTGTGAGTTTGAGGCCAGCCTGGGCTACCAAGTGAGTTCCAGGAAAGGCGCAAAGCTACACAAAGAAACCCTGTCTCGAAAAACAAAACAAAACAAAAAACAACAACAACGGGGCTGGAGAAATGGCTCAGAGGTTAAGAGCACCGACTGCTCTTCCAGAGGTCCTGAGTTCAATTCCCAGCAACCACATGGTGGCTCACAACCATCCGTAATGAGATCTGGTGCCCTCTTCTGGCCTGCAATCATACATGCTGTATACATAATAAATAAATAAAATAAAAAAAAAAAAAAAAAAAAAAAAAAGTACTGATTGCTCTTCCAGAGGACCTAGATTCATTTTTTAAAAAAAAAAAAGGTAAAATTGGGCTGGGGTTATAACTCAGCAATTCATCACTTGCCCATCATGGGCAAGGCTCTGGATTCCAGCCCTGGCCCCACATAGAGGACCCAAGTTTATTTCCCAGCACCCACTTGATGGCTCACAGCCATCTGTAACTCCAGTTCCAGGGGATCCAACACCCTCTTCTGACCTCCTTGGGCACCAGACACACACATGCTGCCTGTGTGTTCACACCTGTCTGTAACTCCAGTCCCAGGGTTTCTGATACCCTCCCACAGGCAGGCAAAAACACCAAAGAACATTAAATAAAAATAAACTACAAAAACCTCTAAAAACCCAACAATAAGGAGCTATGAGCCCATTCTATATAAGCCTTAGCCAGCATGGAGACCTCTGCTCTCTCAGAGACCCACTGAAGACACAATTTCCTCCTCAGTGGGACCCAAGGAGATACACTGGACATCCCAGCAAGCACTGCAGAGACCAGCCAACCAACCTTGAATCGGATGAACTTCTTCTTCCAGGAATGCAGTCCCGACAAGCATATCTGTTTGAGGGCTTCATGGCTCAGGCGGAGGTCGATGCCATCGGGGGTGACAGTGAACTGGAAGGCCACAGCTTGATGAGCCTCTGCCATCTTGAATAGGCACCTGGAGCAGGGACAGAGATGGCTTAGAGAAGCCTGACACCAGAAACCAGGGACATGCCTCCAGAGGAAGGAGGTCCTCCAAATTTAACCTTGTGCCTTAACAGACCTACACGCACGCGTCTCCAACAGATACAGTGCTGTCCCTCACTCCACACTTCTCACCTGTCCAGATCCATACAGGCCTAGGGTGATGGTGTGGGCCCATGTCACCACCATCCCACGCCCTCTGCCCATCCCACAGAACCATGCCCCCAAAGGCATCCCCAGCCAGCATGACAAAGGTCACTGGCGGCCATGTATTGACCTGCACAGCAGAGATGACTATTCTTACAGCCCATCCCCAGAACTGTCATGAAAACACCGGAAGTAGCAACAAACGAGTCCCCAGCAGCCCTGAACCCCGACCTTCAGGCAGGACCACTGCCCCTCCAACTTCAGAGAGGGCTACGAAGACTCCAGGACCGGTGGTGAGATGGCTCAGTTGGAAGAGCCCTTCCCTCCAGAGACTGACAATGTGAATTCAATCCCAGAACCCAAGTAAAGGTGGAAGGAGAGGACCAATCCCACAAAGCTGTCCTCTGGCTTTCACATACGCACTGTGGTGTGCACGCCCTGCCCTCCCCCAATAAATAAAAATACTTTTTACACTGGGTTGTGGTGGTGGCACATGCCTTTAATCCCAGAACTCAAGAGCAGAAGCAGGAGGATTTCTGAGTTTAAGGCCAGCCTGGTCTACAGAGTGAGTTTCAGGACAGCCAGGGCTATACACAGAGAAACACTGTCTCAAACAAAAACAAAACAAAAGAAAACAAAAACTTGGGGAAAAAAAAAGATTCCACTAACATCCCACAAACTGCACAGACCCTAACTGGTCCTGATCCTCTGAGGCTATTCCTAAAGTCAAACTGGTCTAAGGCATCCATGTATCAGGCCTTAGTTGTTCCTGTACAAAACATGGCCTCTTCTGCACTAGTTTGTCCTGTCTCACTCACTACAGGAAATCTTAGGAATCTCCAGAATCTGTCTCAGTGACACACATACACACAAAGAGGAGCTGGGCTGGAGACATGGCCAGGAAGAATGTTTCCTACTCTTGCAGAGGCCTGGTGTTCTATTCCCAGAATCCAAGTCAAGCAGCTCACTACTGCCTGTAACTCCAGCTCCAAGAGATCTGATGCCCTGATCTAGCCTCTGTGGGTACTGCACTCACAAGCACATACACATAGAACAAACTAATAAGCATACATAATAAAACAAGAGGGATCTACAATGTGCTCTTCCCCTCACTTCTTCACTTACTCCTGTGGTCTGTCTAAGCCAACAGCTTTCAACCCACTCTCACACTCAGCAGAAATGTCACCTCCTCCCTTCCTGGTTCCCTCATTCCCCCAGCAGCTGCCTGAGGAGTTACCTCTTCTGAAGGTGTGCAACCCCTCTGTTTTCCAAAGCTGTTTGTTACAAAGCACTAAGTATACATATATATTTTAAAAGATAAGAGGTAAAAACTATTCAGAACCATAGTAAGATCTAATTTATGGGTGTGTTCTCATCACATAATAACTTTCCCACTGAGGCCCACAAGGTCTGATAAACCTGTCAAAACCAACAGGTAACGGGACTAGAGAGATGGTTCAGCGGTTAAGAGCACTTACTGCTCTTACAGAGGACCTGTGTGTGGTTCCTAGAATTTAAATGGTGACTCACAAGCATCTGTAACTCCAGTTCTGGAGGATCCTACACCCTCTTCTGGCTTCCCCTAGGCACTGCATGCATATGGTACACATACATACATGCAGGCAAAACACTCAGATAAAACCCCCAAATTTTAAATGTGTATTTTTAAAATGATTTATTTATTCTTATTTCACGTACATTGGTTTGCCTGTATGAAAGTGTTGGATCCCCTGGAACTGGAGTTTACAGACAGCTGTGAGCTGCCATGTGGGTGCTGGAAATTGAACCCGGGTCCTTTGGAAGAGCAGCTAGTGCTCTTAACCACTGAGCTATCTCTCCAGCCCAAATATGTGTATTTAAAAAAACAAAACAGCAAACAGGTTTCTGGGGCTGTAGCTCAGGTAGAGAGTGCCCACTGAGCTTGCACAAGCCCTGGGTACGATGCCCAATACTGTGTGTGGTGGCGCACACCTGTAATCCCAGCACTCAGGAGGTGGAGGCAGGAGGATCAGGAGTTCAAAGTTATCCTTGGCTATACTGACAGCTAGAGGCTAGCCTGGGCTACATGACATTAACAAGTAGAATTGGGGATGCAGCTCAATAGCAGAACATTTGTCTAACATCTGTGAGGCCCTGGGTTCCATCCCCACAATGCAAAAACAATTTTAATCGGTACATATCAATATAGTTCAAAGATACTAACCAAAGCTAGGTGTGGTGGCATGGACCTCAGGAGGATGAGGCAGAAGGATTGCCACAGACTGATCTATCAGCCTGAGTTGCAGAATGAAACCCTGTCAACTGCCAATCACTTGCTCATTCAACAAGTATTTCCTGGCTGCTTCCCATGTACCAGTGAGGTGAGAACCTAGACCCTGGTAGAAATGGCCCCTCTGCCCTCCTGTGGCACAGAGAGGAGGCCGAGAGCAAGCAATGCCTCCGTGGCAGTTAGGTGCAGGAAAAGGAGGTGCCGAACAGGAGACCCTGAAGCTCAGCACACCATCCCAGAGAGGAGAGCAGACAGCCCTGGCCCAGTGCGGTGCATCAGGGATGAAGACGACAACCAACTCCACAGGTCTGAGTCCTATGGGCTGGACATGCTGATAAAAGGGGCCCTGCAGCCTTGAACTATGTGCTCTGCGGAGCCACGTCCTGGGGCGGGGTGGTGGTGCGGGGGGAGCAGGCAGCTGACAATTCACCTGTGGACCTGCCGAGTTGGAAAAGTCAGTGTCGCAGACGCAGAGCTCACAGAGCACACCGAGGTGGAGCAGCCAGGGACAGGCGGATATGGGAAGCATGAGGACAGTGCTGGTGGGCAACGCAACTGGAAACTGGCCTTTGGGCTCTGCGCTGACCTCCAAAAGGTTGAGGGGACAACACAACCTTGTCCTGAAGATAACTTAGAGCCCAAGCTACGTCCCAGTGTGTTTACGTCCTGGAAAACCGTGACAGGGCCTGGCCGTGATGAAGGCACAGACCCCACCTGAGAAAGCAACAACACTACGGACCTGGGCTTGGGCAGACACATACACAGCCTGAGTGAGGCACAGAACGCAGCTCTGGTTGGGGTGAGGAGGCTCGAATCTGGAATCCCCTTGAACTTCAGATCCTCCTCCATCTACTTCTGAAGTGCTGGGATTACAGACAGGAGCCCCTGTACTCGCGTTATCCACTGTCCGGGATGAAGGCAAGGCATGCGAGGCAGGCACCCTATTGACTGCAGAGCCAGCCCCAGGTTAAGCTTCCCGTATCTGCAACACTCACGAGGCTGGTAGCACAGACACGAACCCCGCATCAATCTGGGCAGACAGGATTCCGTGACTGGCCACCACCCTGCCAATTGTTTACCTGACCTCAAAATTGAACCAGCATATTGTTTCAAGTTCAAAACCAGCCTGGGTTAAACACTGAATTCTAGGCTGAGCTACAGACAGATCTTGTTGCAAAAACAAAAACAAACTCAATAAAAACATTAATGAAATTTTAGAACACAAGGGAACTATTTTGATGTAAACTTTTCTGTTGTGCATATGTGTGTGCACACATCCTCCCGGGTATTTGTACCCGTCTGTGCATCAAGGCCTGAGTTCCACACCAGCTGCCTTCCTCTATCACCTTCAACTTTACTGTTTGGAGGCAGGGTGTCTCACCGGAGCTGGAGAGTGCTGACTGGCTAGGCGGAGTGATCCCTGAGTCCGTGTATCCTGTTCCCACGGTTTGCCAACCCCAGAGCTGGAATTACTGGCCCAGAGCTGTTATACTCAGCATTTTACAGGATGCTGGGCTCAAACTCAGGTCCTCAAGCTGCTCAGCAAGCACTTCTTCACCCACTGAGTCATCTCCACAGCCCACGAGGAGCCGTCAACAGCAGATTAAACACCGTGCTGCAGTCACTTCTATCCAAAGGCGTGAACCCCAGGTTTGCCCAGAAACCAAACGTAGTCTCAGGACAATCATGAGGACGTACAGTGTCCTTTCCAGGGTGAAATGTCCCTGCCACGTGACCTGAGTTTAATGTTCAGGACCACCTGAACCTGCCAGGTGTGGTGGCACAAGCCTAGAAACCCAGCAGCAGGAAGGTAGAGACAAGAGGGTCAGGAGTTCAAGGTCACCCTTGGTTACACAGTGAGTTACCAGCCTGGTCTCCATGACACACAGAGACAAAAAGACTGCCTAAACTTGATGAAGGCCTGGTTTGTTCTGGCAGGTTCATCATAGCAGGCATTCCGGCTGCTTTGTGGGCTTGCAAAGCAGTTCACAACGCAGGTTCACTGCTTTAAACCACTCAGCAGGTACTGGTGCCAGATGAGTCAGCCTCAGGCTCCATGTTGGCTTCACGGGCTACTTCAGATGGTCAGTGTTCCCAGAAGCCACCGGGAAGTACAGATCAAATCACAGCACATGCCACCCCCAGGAACAGCTGGAATGCAATCCATGAGTGACAGGCGCTGGAGAGCCACCCCAGGAACAGCTGGAATGCAATCCATGAGTGACAGGTGTGGAGGACAGTGAGAAATCACGAGCTTCACTCACTGCTGCCGTAGAAATGTGATGGGGTCAGGTCATCCCAGAAGACAGGCTAAGCATAAAGCTCCTTCGAGGCGGTGTGTTCAAGGCCAGCCTGGGCTACACAAAAAGACCATATCTCAACAAAGCAAAGCAAAAATGTAAAAGCCTTGGAACCCAGCAACTCCTTTCCTTAGCCAGGATAACTCGAACAAGTCCACACTAAAACCTATACAGGCATGTCCACAGCAGCCTCGATCATGACAAAAACACCAGGTGTTCCATGGCAGGAGAGGAGACTACAGCCAGGGCCCTCCACAG